TACTACTATTGCTACTACTACTACTACTACTACTACTACTACTACTACTACTGCTACTGCTACTGCTACTGCTACTGCTACTGCTACTCCTCCTACTACCACTACTGCAACAACTACCACTACCACTACAATTAGCACTACTACTAGTACTAGTACTAGTATTAGTACAACAACAACAACGACTACTACTACCACTACTACTACTACTACTACTACTACTACTACTACTACTACTACTACTACTACTACTACTACTACTACTACTACTACTACTACTGTTTCTGTTGCTAGCCGGGAGCCAGATTACTAGCACGGTAAAACCCATAAGAATATGCCCTCATTTTTAGTCCCTAGCCAAAGCTATATCTACCCGATGAACCCTATATAATCTCCCTTAGGTTCGCCCGTCGACAATGTCGAGACCCAGATCGTGCCCAGCGAGGGCAATGAGCATCCAGCTCCGCCTCCTGCAGCTTGGGCTTTTCGAATTGACAGCAGTGATGAGCAGTGGGGTCTGAGAAAGTGCCTAGGTGGTATTTCGGCATGAACAATTGGCCTTGAACAAGAAGAAGAAGGAAGCACGAGCAAAGAAGAAGGCTGCTAAGGCTAAGGAGCAGGAGGAGGATGAGCAGGGAGGAGCAGGGGAGGCAGATGATTCTGCAGATGGGGCTGAGGCTTCTGAGGGTTCGCATGGCGACGGGGATGATGATGTAGCAGCCAAAGGCAAGAGGAAATCGAAGAAGCGATCAAGGGCAAAGGGCAAGGGAGGGCCCAAGAACGATGCTGAGGAGCCAGATTGCAAACGAAAGAAGACAACCGAGCCGGCAGCCGAAGTGAAGCCAGCAGCAGAGCCCGAAGCAAAGACACGCAGGACCAGGAAGCCGGCAGCCAAAGTGAAGCCAACAGCAGAGCCCAAAGCAAAGACAAGCAAGACGACGGAGCCGGCATCCGAAGTGGAGCCAGCAGCAGAGCCCAAAGCAAAGGCAAAGAAGACGACGGAGCCGGCATCCGAAGTGAAGCCAGCAGCAGAGCCCAAAGCAAAGACAAAGAAGCCTGCAGCAGCAAAGCCAAAGGCAAAAGGGAAAGCAAAAGCAAAGGCCAAGGGTAAAGCCAAAGCTTCGCCGAAATCCAGCTCGAGCAAGCCAGCAGGCACACGCACGGAGGACACAGACATAGCTGTGGATTGTATGTAGCATGGGGGGGTTGCTTTCTAAACATATGATTACTACTCTTGGTTTCCAAAACAGTGCAGGAGGAGCTCGTCATCAAGAACTACATCCATGAATGGAACAGCAATCGGGACCATAAGTTTAAGATCATGGCTTATTGGAGTCGATCTGGGTTCGCTATCTTGGACTTGGCGAACGACGGAAGTCAAGACCCTTTTCCTGCAAACCGAGGGTCCTGCATGGTTGCTAAACTTTTATAAACATGATCTCTGAATCCTTCCCAGCCCAGGTTGCCTACTGCCAATCTACGAAGGTCGATGTGACATCAAATTTCCTGCCAATCAAGCAATTGGTCATTCAGGATGCACTTATCCAGAGTACTGTGGGTCGGAGTACTACTTTGAGGCATTTGTCCCTGTGGGTTTGATCATCTGAGGCTTTGGGTCTTCAGAACGGTTCCGATCCTGATGCTGCCTGGCGAAAGTTCGAAGCTGAGAAGGAACGGCTGTACAAAGCGCCAGGTGAGCAGTAGCTGGCTATGGGGTAGATTGGCAGCCACAGGGTGCAACCCCGATCGCAGCCCAAAGAACATATGACCCTTCTCCTGAATGACCGGAATTACCCCTTCAGGAGGTTTTGCCTGCAACATTAGCACAGTGACAGCATGCTGTGCAGGGGTTGCCTCGCTAGTGTGCCTGTCTTCTTGCAAACACATTTTGTGTTCACGCCGGGATCTTGTGCTGAAGTGCTCATGGCAGGGGGAAAAGTGCAATCACGAATCCCGCTGTGTCCTTCTCGATCTGTCCAGTCTGCATTCGCCGAAGCCAGCCGCACGATCTCGCAGGAATCCGTTGTGATTGGATTGAAGCACCAGAAGCCCTGAACCCGGAAACCCTTTTGAAGCTACACTTTCGCCTCACATTCATACTACCGGCTCCCTCGCAGGCCTGTGGCACTTCGACGGCTGGACCGGCAATTGTGCACTACCCGTAAGACTCTCATTGCAAAGAGGAAGGATGGCCAGCTGGGCATGTTTGATGTGGTGACTGTGCAGCCTAGAACATTCCGACTGGATGTTTAGCTCTTCCAAACAATATTAATAACAATAATAATATACATACAGACCCTATACCCAACCTCTATCTATCTCTAACTATGTATCTTTCTGTGCATGCATACATACCTACCCTAAACCCCTCCCGACAACCTCTCGTGTCGACGACCTAACCAGCATCATGATTGATGGTTTGGATTACCGGGGCCTTCAAGCTTTAGTGGGAGACTTTGTGACATTGACAATCTTCAGGGCGACTTCAACTAGTCAAGCTTTGCCTGGGCTCAGGATTTTCGAGAGTTCGTGTCGTTCGTGCAAAGAAGGGAGGGTTCAGGTTTGGGGCAGGGTTGATAAGCATGTAGGTGTAGTTTGATCGAATAAAACAAATGTGTCGCTTTATGTTGCTTTATTGAAGATGTACATATAACTCTTTATATATATATATATAGGCATACATATATATATATATATATTATAGGTACAGACCTGAGATGTTTAGGGTTTATACGGGTTGTAGGGTTTCTAGAAAGGACTTATGTATACTTTAATGCCTGGGGGTTTGGGTGTAGGTGTGTATAGGTTTATAGGGACGTGTTACAGGGCACTTGTCTGAAACGGTTTCGTAGAGTATCTGACACTCTAGATGCACCGAACATTTGAACGCCACGGGGCATTGGAACGAACAAGCTTAACCATATATCAGTGTCAAACCTACACGTAAATGGTATAATTAGGTGGGTAGGGACCTAGGCCAGTTTTGCAGCACGGAGCAACCCTGTATTTGTACATATAGTCCATAACCCTACACCCACGTACCCTCTAATCCCCGCAAACCACACCTTATGTACCCTGGAACACCCTATCAAACTCTCTGTGCAAACCCTATCAGAAGCTCGACCGGGGCTTTGGAGCCCCGAAAAGGCTTTCGGCAGCAGGCCTTCCGAAGGTCGTCGTTGCCCGCTGACACGGGCCTGCAGGGTCTCGTGGGGCTTTTGCTAATATAGGACTAGGTCGGGTACGGGTTTCTAGTGATCGTTGTTTTGGATACAAGGTGTGTCGGGTACTTTTCAGTACAATCGGTAGAACACTCTTATATTGATCGGGATATGATGAAGAGGACGTTTTTGTTGTCTGTGGGGATCTATCTTGCCCTATATATAGTTGTAGAAGCATGACCTAGAAAGTTTTCTTTGTCGCACTACATTTACCCGTAGCCCTATCCCAACATAATGTCGACATTGTATCGGGATTTTATCGGGATACGGTTTCGGGGCTAGACGCCGTAATAAAACCGTAAACCGTAGGGAAAGCGTATAAGGCCAACATTTTGTCAACATTAAACCGTAATAAACCGTAGGGCTATCCCAATATAATGTCAACAAGCGGACAGATTTTATATTTACCGCAATCTAGAGGTCCTCCGGCCCCAGTATTATCACGCAGAAGCAGGATTGACCTGTGTTCGGATCGTATCTCAAGCTCCTTTGTCAGGTGGGGGAGTGATAGTTTTGGTCCCTCGGTGCTGGCGATTCTAGCCATGGCTAGAGGCAAAGGTTCGCGACTCATCGGCTGCAAGCAAGAGATTCCCGACGAGACTTTGCAATCCCAACTCCAGGAGCCCCGAACACTTACACTTAAGTATACCTACATTATCCGAATTCCATAAACCCCTGCCACTTAATCCTACATGCATGGCCTCTGACAGGACTTGGAAAAGCAGCTGGAGCACTTGGAAAAGGCCCCGACCGAGAAAGCTGCACCGGAGGATGCAGTGTTCTGATTCCATTAAGTGATATAATTCTCACACATGCATGATCTAAGAAGGTTCGATCTATCTATAGCTAAGGTGGGATTGTCTGGGCACAATCAAAACGATGATCGCTTCGTGCCCTGTGATCTACGTCGCCGTTTCGATGAAGTTGCTGCAGACGAAACTGCTATGGATTCGGCCGAATCCGCAGAGACTGCAGCTATGTCACTCGTTCCGTTGCAGAAGGATTTCGAGCCCGTCGCCGACAAGCCGACGCCGACCCCCAAAAGGTCCCCGGCCTCCAAGAAGAAGCATCGGTCGCCCAAAGCACCTTCCCAGAAGGAGCAATCGAGTCACTGGTGCTGAGTTGCATGTCTGTTCTGCAGTGCACATGGCATATATATGTTATGTTCTTGCAGGATGCGACACCTGTGCCCGAACCTCATGAGGATTCGGACAATGACATGTTGACACAGGAGAAAGCCAACTTGGAGGAGCAGCTGGCTAAGATAAACCAGCGATTGCTGGCGAAGAAGCGAAAAGCTAAGGTAGAGCCTACCGAGGATGTCGAGACCCCGGATTCGACAGCCCTTTCCCGAAAGCCCCGAACCGCAACACCATCCCCTCGGCCCACCTCGCAGCTTAGGAGGCAGGGGGGCCAAAGCTTCCGATCCCTGCCCAGTGTCGCATCTCTGCCCTCGTCCACGAAACCCAAGCCTTCTTCCCGTGCCAACCCTCCCCGCCCAGTTGCTGCTCCCTTGCGATCCGGTGGCCTAATTCGGCCCAGCCCTTCGTGTGCTAGCCTGTCGAACGCTTCTGTTGCTGCATCTGAACATGGTGATGAAGAGAGTGAGTCTAGTGAGGGGTCCGACTGTGCCGCCACGAACAGTGGAAAGTACGGTATTGTGTACGACCCCAAGACCGGGAAGGAGACTTGACTGCAAGACTGGGTACACCTCTGCACGCACCGGAGCAGTTGTTGTTTTGCACAAACAGAGTTGAAACCAAACAGCATTGAGCCCAGGTTATGACCCAAGAGGCCATCGAGCAGCGACTTCGCCGTGCATGTACAAACGGTAAGAGGAAATCAGCAACCGGTGGAGCCGCAGCAGTCGAGATGTACAAGGATCTTGGCAAGCGGGACAAGCTGGCCAAGATACTCATTCAATCGAACTTTAGCAAAGCTACCTGGTCGTTCAGTCGTGCATAAACATGTCACTGTGTGTATATGTGTGTGTGGCAGCAAGCGAGGGATCGAGGGAGTGAATGATTGAGTGAGTGTGTGTGTGTGTCTGCTTTTGTTTGTGTGTGTGTGTGTGTCGGGCTGGGGGGGTGTAGGAGGTGGGTATAGGGGGGGGCGGGGGTGTGGGGGGGGTGGGGGGGTGGGGGGTTGGGGTGGTCGCTATCCTTCTCTATATAGACATGTCTAGCTTTCTCTTTCGGTTTGTTGTATCAAAGCTTTGGTTTTGTGTATATAACCATATAACCACCGCTGTCATTATCTCTATCTCTCCCTTGCTCTCTCTCTCTCTATATATCTCTCTCTCTCTCTCTCTCTCTCTCTCTCTCTCTCTCTCTGCATCTTGTGTGACCTAGTCTGGCTTTCGCAAGAACATCACGAAGTTCGTCGAAAAGGAGAAATCCAGTGAGACAAAAGTCGTTGCTGGTTGGTACACGGAGAAGGCGATGGCGACACAGCTAAACCTGGACAGGCCATGGCCCCAAAAAGCAAAAGGAGCCACCCAAAACCTCACCGCCGCCAAGGTCTGATATCGCCGACATCGTGGAGTACACCCGCACCCGCCCAAAGCTGAGGAGGCAGGGTTCGTACGTGTGCATGCAGAAACCCAAAATTGCTTCGGCACACACACCCACACAGGAAGTACAAGTACAACGCCAAGAAGTTTGAGCACTGGGTGGAGAAGGAGGTCATAGGCACCAATGCGAGAAAAATCGTACGAGGCAGCAGGACCGAGATGAAGGGGGGCGAGGAGGAGGTTTCGGGGAACGAGGAGCTTCAGGTCTCCGACGAGGAGAAATTCATTTCCGATAAGGAGGATGAAGATGCCCCCGAGGATGCTCAACCTGAGCAGGACTTCTTGAAATGGTGTGATGCTAGATTGTGTATATATAGTCTCCTGCACTTCGAACCTCAATATCCGCAGGAAGCCGACCTGTTGGAGAAGGCAATGGAAGAGCTTTTGCCCCGCATTGCGAAGATGCACGACAATGCCAAGAAGCTGAAGCCACCGTACAATGCCGACCCGAAGCCTACTCACGCAAGGCTCTTGCATGCATGAATATTCCTCGTGCTCGCTTGGTAGTATGTGCATATGTATATGTGTATGTGTTTATGTGCATGCAATTGCATACTGCTGCTGGTCGTGGTGATGGTGCTGGTGGTGCTGTTCCCTTCTGCTTCATTCTGTTATTGGGTTTATTTGGCTTTCTGGTTCTTCATGTCCTCTCTTCTCTCTCTCTCTCTATAAATATATATATATATATATATATATATATATATGCATGCGAGAATATATATATATATATTATAAATATATGTAGGGAGAGATAGATAGAATTAATAGTTTTACGCACACAGACAAACACACGCACACACACACACACACTCTCTCTCTCTCTCTCTCTCTACTGACTATCTATCTCACTCTCTCTCTCTCTCTCTCTCTCTCGCTTTCTCGCTCTCGCTCTCTCTCCTTCTCTGCTTTGTCGAGGCACGCAGCAGAGATGGAACGAATGGCCGAGTCGTTAGAACACATCTACGACAAGATGGCCCACCTCCAAGCAGACCTCAAGTCTCCTACTGTGAGTGCGAGCACAAAGTTTCGTGTCAGCATATCGTATATTCCTCTGGTTCAGCTGCTTGTTATGGATTGCACGATCTTTGTGCCATCTCTCAAGGAAGGCTGTGCACGAGGAAATCAAGAAGGGTACAGTGCAGTTCCACAGCTGCAGATTTCACAAGCAGTTGTTTACAAGCTGTTCCACGACACCCCAAACAGCCCCACATTCCCAGGATGGCCAAAGCGGCTGCAAAGGAGACGACGTGCCAGCCCGCAACTAAGCCAGTGTTTGCAAGCCCCACCGGATCGAAACCCCAAACCCAGAACACACTCAGGTCGGAGATCCGCGACATCGAGAAGGCCAACAGGACAGCGAAGGACCGTGCGGGCCCGGGCCCCGCCGCCGTGAGAGGTGCAGCAAAGGCTGCAGCAAAGGGCAAGGCTAAGGGACTGAAGAAGAAGTAGATTTATTGTGGGTGCTACAAGCATTCACGGTTTGTTCCGAAGTTGCAAAGCTGAAAGCGAAACAGCCGATTAGTGTGTGAGCCATCATGCTGAGCCTGCACATTAGATGGTGCCCGATCGCCCAAGGTTCTGAATACATAGCTCTAGTTAACTCACTACAAACTGCGAAAACCTTGCTTCGGGTGTCTTACGTGTGGGGCATATGTGCTCACCTGGCCTAATGGGGAGGTCTTCGGCTGCAGTGAGCAAAATTGGTGTCCGGGCTAGATTGTGCGAGCAGATCTTACCAGACCTTCCCAAGACTTAATGTGCCCTGAAGATCCCAAGCCCCGCATGGCAGGTGAGCATGTGAGGCACCTCCATCTCGCTCGAAGTCTTTCGAGAGGGGCTCCACGGTCGAGCTTGTTATGGTGTGGGAACCGGTTAGCACTATTTGAGAGTTCGCTGCAAAGATTGGGCTGTTGATATGAGGCAAATGATGGCTTCTATCTCTCTATGGCTCTATATACAAACCAATATTACCCTATAAATTCTAAACCCAACAGGGATCAAACCCCAAAGCCCTATAATGCAAGATGTATAGGTTCCTGAGGTGCTGTTGGGAAGGGCTTCGAGGATTTGTGGATTCTTGCAAACGGGTTCCTATGTTTCTGTTTCGAAAGGACTTGCCTGAGCTATGGGTTTGGTTTAGAAGGGCTTTGTGAGGTCTTGAAACTTATGGTCTTATGTCGATTCCCGAAATCAACCCGCAAAACACGGAAGCTTGTCCGAAGAACCGCCCAAATGTTTGCGAAAGACCGACACGCCCCAAGAACTAATCAAGTAAGCCCACAGGACCTTGAAACAGGATCGAGCTCTTACTACTACTTAACAAACTTCGTTTACCGATACGATGTCTATCAAGTTTCACAGGTATGTGCACCTATACCTATATAGTTATGACCATATATAGCTGCATGTCTACTTATATACGTACATACATATACATACTGACTGACTGACTGACTGACTTACTTTTTCCACACACACACACACACACCAGAAGCACACAAACTTGTGCATCCAAGTTTCTTGACACTTCGTTGCAATATTATATTCACATTGTTATCTAGATTCACATATATACACATAACCATCACTGGCTATAGGCTCCAATCATCCTCTGTCTCCCGGTCACACGGCATTATTGTCGAAGCTATCACTAAAAACAACAATCGCCAAGGCTTCTGGCAGCACCATTTGGCTTGATGCTAAATCTCGGGTGGAGGAGCCGAACCGGCCTTCTGCTGCCTCCATTTACTCGAAACTGGCCAGGGGGAGCCAGCATCGTGCCGAAGAAAAGGTTTGGCAAGAGTTTCTGTCCGGCAGAAAGATTATTTTCAGCAGGGTTGTGGCAGGTTTTTGTTTGCTTATAATATTTTCGGGGTGCATCAAAGAGCATCACAAGTCGAATCAGTTTCCAGGCTTCATTCCTCGGGCTGTGCACTGCCTGTAAAGATCGAGATGATCGAGGCCGGGCCAGCCGGCGAAAAAGAAAGCATCCCTTGGTTGGACCCGGTTCGTATGATGACGTGTCTGGCCGAGAATGACATGTTGGATCTTTTACATGGCGACCACAACCTGCTAGAGTTCTGGCGACGGTATGCGAAGTACAACCCATCTCATCCTATATTCACTTTGGCTGAAAATGGTGTCGTTAACCTTGCTCGAAGCATTCCTTTTTACTCCCACGGTGATGAAGGCCGTGGCAAGAAGAAAAAAGGGATTTTGATCTGGTCGATGAAAGGTGCTGTGGGACGAGGCACAGATCACTTCCGCAGCCAGCATGACGTGGATCAGCAGAAGCTTCGAATGGGGCTTAACATGACGGGATCCAAGAAGTCGAGATTCCTACATCTTGCTGTGCCAAAGCAAGTGTATGCCAAGATGACTGAGCCTGTGTGGGATGATCTAGCTTTTCACATTGCCCGCTCATACCATCAGTTACAAACCAAAGGATTTGATGACTGCCATGGTCGCCATTGGCATGCCATTTGCTTGGGGCTGACTGGAGACAACCCGTTTCTGGCGAAGGTTGGTCATCTCCAGAGAAGTTTTGCCCGGGGTCCCAAGTCGTCAGGCGAAACCGCTACTGCTGGTATTTGCTGGCACTGTCTAGCAGGAACACCCAATATTCCATACGAAAACTTTGCCATGAAGCCTGAATGGTCCTTCACTCTTTACGAATGTTTGCCATGGGAGGAACAGCCACCCTTCCTTCAAGGGCTCCAGTATCCTGAAGACGATGATTTGGCTCCGCAGATGCTACATTTTGATGTGTGGCACAACTTCCATGGTGGAGTGGCCAAACACATGGTGGCTTCAACAGTTGCTGAGATTCTGCCAAACATGATGTCTGGTGGAATAAAAGACAAAGTTGAGCAGATCAACAAAGCTTACACCTCTTGGAGACGGGAGTCAAAGCTCACTCTTCACTGCGGCCGTTTGGATGCAGAGCTTTTTGGTGTGGATTCTGGACTTCAAGTTTGCCCGGAAGGCAAATGGAACAAATTCAACGATTCGAGGATTCTACTGGCATTCTTGGAATTCTTCCTTGCACAAAGGACGGAGTATGTGCCAACACATGTGACCGAGGAAGCTTTGTTCGGCATCAAGAATGCCAATCTATGCTTCAGCACCCTCTACCGGTCCGGATTTTGGCTAACCCCACAAGAGGCATCGTTGGCTGGCAAAGCTGGCATGAATTTCCTGTGCTCGTACAGTCGTTTGGCATCGTTTACACTCGAGGAGGAGCGATCCCGCTACCCGTTGGTTCCAAAGACACATTATCTTCACCACGCATTTTTGGAGATGTGTGTGTTATCAACAAAAAGTTCCTGGATTCCCAGTGCACTGGCCACGTCAGTGCAGATCGACGAGGACTTTGTTGGTGTGGTCAGTCGAACGAGCCGAAGAGTGGGGAGTTTCTACCTGATGAAACGGACATTACAACGATATCTTGTCACCGCATATCTGGAGACTGTCGAGTCAGTGTCGCCTCCGAAGTGAAGAAAAGATCGTTCCGAGCACTCAGGTGTAGCAGCTTCTTGCATTCCCCAAAGCCGAGAAACACTCCTCGAGCAGCATCCTATAGTCGAGAAATACTGTCCCCCAAAGCCACGAGAAAAGATTTTGCGAGAACATCGAAAGCGGATGGTTTTTTTGCGAGGCTGGATTTTTCCAGCCGGTTCAAGCGGAAGCAATTTTATGGCACAGGGTATCTCCAGGTAGGCTTTGGGTGTAAGGTTTAGGGTTTAGGGTTGTGGTTTAGGGTTAAGGACTTGGTTGTAAGGTTTAGGGGTTTAGGGTTAAAGGTTTAGGACATAGATGGGCCTTAGGGTTCAGGATTTACGCTTGGCCGAGACTCCGCCGAGACCCGGCCGAGACCCTTTTTCGGGGTTCGCCAGGGTTTAGGGATTAGGGTTAACGGTTTAGGAGGGTTTAAGGTTTTAGAGTTGAAGCTTTCCGGTTTAGGGTTTAGGGTTTGGGTCTAAGGTTTAGGGTTTAGGGTTCTGGTTTAGGGTTTAGGGTTTGGGTGTCGGGTTTAAGGTTTAGGGTTCTGGTTTAGGGTTAATTAAGGACTTGGTTGTAAGGTTTCGGGGTTTAGGGTTAAGGGTTTAGGACTAGGGCTTAGGGTTCAGGATTGGCCGAGACCCGCATCTAGGGTTCGCTAAGGTTTAGGGATTAGGGTTAAGGGCTTAGGAGGGTTTAGGGTTTAGGGTGTAGGGTTTTGGGTTGTGGTTTAGGGTTTAGGCTTTGGGTGTAGGGTTTAGGGTGTTGGGTTGTGGTTTAGGGTCTAGGGTGCGTTAAAAGTCTACCCTCTCACTGAACCATAAACCAAAAACTTTAAAACCTAAATCCACAACCCTAAACCCTAAGCCCTACACCCGAAACCCTGAACTTTAAACCGTGGCCGCAATTTGGCGCTGCCGCTCTCACGAGTCTTCCTGTCACGGGCACGAATTAAGCGCAGTCGTCAGTACGTCGGGACTCGAGTTACGGTTCAGGGACTGGGGTTTAGTGTTGCGGCGCGTTAAGCTTTAGCATTGAAAGGTCGGGTTCAGCTTTCATACTGACAACTGAGGGGTTCAGGGCTCGACAACTTCCACGGCTGTGGAGTATCGTACAAGCTGGCGCATGCCGACGCAGACGTTCTTTCGGAACTGAATGCCTGCAGTCGGAAAGAAATCTCACAAGTTCTCAATGGCCGTCAGTTGTTAAGGACTCGAATTTATGTTCAGGGACTGGGGTGTAAGGCTGCGGTCCAGGGTTGCAGGGTTACGCTGTGGGGGTCTTTCATATTGAGAACTTAAGGGTCGAGGCCCGACAACTTCCACGGCTGTAGAGTATGGTACAAGCTGGTGCACGCCGATGCGCACGTTCTAAAAAAACTGCCGAGCTCTGGCCATCTTCAAGCCGTCTTCAACTGCTTCGTACGGGGGCTGTCAGCTTCGTCCTGCAGGCAAGGTTCAGCGAAGTTTACAGGGTTCGGATGTTAAGGCTTTCGGGCTAAGGTTTAAGGGTTTAGGGTTTCCTGCACTATGTTTTTCGCGGGATTTCGGGTTTTCTATGTGTGGCCTATTGGGCTTAGGTTTTGTGGAATTTGGGCTGCAAGGTTCAGGTCTTTGGGTCCTCCACTGACAACAACGTAACCCTAAGTGTACTTAAGACTCCAAGCTCAAAGCCCTCGACCTTCAATACTGCACCGTAAACCCTGGGGACACAACCAACCGTACAACCATCGTACAACCCTCTTTAAAGAGCTCTTTAAACACTAAACGCTATACGCTAAGCCTTTAATCCTGAGGCGGAAGTCTCAGCCCTGAACCGAATGCCCCGCGGAAACCTTGGGAATAACCGCAAAACTCCCCTTGTCCTGAGCCTCCTCGCTGCTGTCCTCAGCACGAGGCCGCCTCGAGTTGCGAATGAAAGTATAAACCTGGCTGTCGTCGGGCAATGTGTCCATGTGCTCCGAGAGATGGTCCATGAGAGCCTGGCTCTGTTCCCTCCCAAAAAGAAAGACAATACGGCATATGTCCCAAAAGGAGCTGGGCAACGAATTACAACAGCACGACTATTGCCTTGCAGCTATCTCAACCATCTAAACACAATTCGCCCTTCCACCTAGCCCACCCCTTTTTGTTAATACGAGTAAAAACCCTCATTGTGCTTTAAAAGAATAACCCCAAAACCCTAAAGTTTCAAAACAGCGAGCCTGCAGTCTGTACTTCTGATGGCTGGCCAGGTAGGACTTGATCAAACTTTTGCAGGCAAAGGAGAGGCCGCATTCTGCCTCCCGGATCGCATGCCTTCCTGTAATGCGAACCAGCATGCGATCCTCTTTGTAGGAGGCGATGCCCCTGACCGGGCATTTATGGTGTTTTGTGCAGCTGAATCTGTACAGATAACACCCTTTTCTCCGGGTGGTCTCGTTGCATTGGGAGGAAATGCGAATGTCCTGGTCATCCGCCCACTGATGGAGATTTTTCTGGAAGGCCCGCCGCGACAACCCAGGCGATTCTCCGCCATAAAGACGACCTTGTAAACCTTCCCACTCGATTTCTTGGGTCGTCCTTGTTTTGCCTTCGACTTGGCTTCCGGCCCTGCGGCAGGTCTCTCAACGACAGTCTTCGCAGTGGGCCGTGCGGCAGGTCTCTTCAGGACACTCTTCGCAGCGGGCCGCTTCATCACTCGGCCAGACGCCGGAACTGGCCTATACCATCCACATGCTTTGCTAATTGAAATGAAGACTTTCCACTTTAGCGATATACTGAACTAGAACCAGCCTGACAGCTTGATCCCGCATAATCTGCCGTTCTACATGACACGAAAGCTCTTGAACCACGCCCGCGCGCAAGATGCCTGCCGCGGCATCGCCGAGACCAAGCCGAGACCAAGCCGAGTCCAGCCCGACGAACCCAAAACCCTTAATCCCCCTAAAAATTCATCCTACACCTGTACGCCAAATGCGGCATGGGGAAACCCTACACGGTGCGCTCTGATACCTGGACCCCAACATGCTTTTTTAGGAGGGAGGGAGAAGGCCGAAAACCTGAGACAGGTTTAAAGACTTAAAACCTGGACCCCAACATGCTTTTTTAGGAGGGAGGGGAGAAGGCCGGAAACCTGAGACAGGTTTAAAGACTTACTCCGGGAAACACTCACAGCGTAAGGAACGCTCCCCATACTTTTTTCGTACAATAAACTCAAGCCACCACTCTAGTCTTGCCTGCCTTTGGTTTGTTTGTTGGGAGTTAAGCGTTCGCCGTGACATGGCCGTGACATTGCCGAGACATCTGTTTGAGGGGGACTGGTGTTTACTTGCAATTCCGGATTCACCCTCAACGGTAAAGCCTGACGGCGACCCTGACCGAGATGGAATTGCTGAGCCTGCTTCTTGCGGCATCGGCGGCGAGCGGACTGCAGCACACATTCCGCCGGCCGCTTCAGGCCGCGTTCGGGGCAGGCTGGCGCCTGCAGCAATAATATTGAGAGCTTGAACATTTGGCATTTGCAGGGTCTTACGACGCATCCCCGAACGAGAGAATCCTCAACTTCAGCTAAACCCTCAACACTAATAGGCCTGAAGGAGACATCCAGCCTGGGACGGTGTGGGCGTGTATAAACCCGTAGACAGCGACGCCGAAGAGCTCTCCGAGGGACCCCTCTCCGACTGGTCCTTTTAGTTTCTTGTACGGCTCTTTGGGGTTCCTCTCTCTAAAGTTCCTGTCGAGGTGCCTTGAAAGCCACGACGGACCGGTCATGGGACTTGAAGCAGTAGGGTTCAGGGTTGCCGTGTAATGTCTCGGCTGCAGGTTTGGCGATCGGGGCACCATTTGTAAGGGTGTGTTCAGGTCTCGGGTCTGGGGCCCAGGGTCTACGGTTTAGGATTGATGGCCTTCGCCACGAGTGCCGCCGGCCGCTTGAACGGATGGCCGCTGCCGCTGCTGCCAGTGCTAGGGTTTGCCTCTCCGGCTGGTCGTTTTAGTTTCTTGTAGGGCTCTCTGGGGTTCCTCTCTCTAAAGTTCCTGTCGAGGTGCATCAAAAGCCACAACGGTCTGGTCATGGGGCTTGAAGCCGTAAGGTTCAGGGTTGCCGTTTAATGTCTCAGCTGCAGGTGGTCTTCGGGGCGCCATTCTATGGGTGTGTGTTCAGGTCTCGGGTCTGGGGCCCAGGATGTACGGTTTAGGGTTGATGGCCTTCGCCACGAGTGCCGCCGGCCGCTTCATGCCGCCGAACGGATCGCCGCTACTGCTGCTGCCAGTGCTAGGGCTTGATGAATCTACCGTAATTAACGAGGAATATACCATGATAATAAGGAACATACCGTATTTAATCAGGCATATTCCCATGGTTCACGGTCCCGAAGGTAATGTGGCATTTTGAACATCAGCAGTGCTTTTGCTGCTGCTTGAGCTGTGCCTGCTACTGCCCAATGCTCCAAGAGGTCGTACTAGATACTTGGACATTTATCCCGTGTCCGTCCGCCAAACCCCTTCGCCCTCTGGCCTGAGCCTTCGAACTCCGGTAGGAGTGCGCTGACGAAGCATATGGAAACATGGAATGCAAGGGCAGAAGTCCGATCAATGGGCCCGAGCCTTTGATGCTATTGTTGCAACCGAGAGCCTGCTAGGGGTTTCTGAAAAAATAGTTGTCGCCGCAGTAGTCGTCGTAGTAGGAACAGCAGGAACATCAGCCGTCTTCGTCGTCGTCGTCGGAATGTCATCGTGGCCGTGGTCATGGTTGTCGTCTTTCAGGGGGTTTAGGGGGTTGTGGAGTTTAGGGTAGTTGGAATAGGGATTAGGATTTAGACTTTGGAGTTAGCCGAGACTCGGCCGAGACGTGGCCGAGACAAGGATTTAGGGTTTAGGGGGTTTCGGTGTTTCGGGGATTTCGGTGGTTTAGGACGTTCAGGGGGTATAGTGAGTTTAAGGGGGCATATGCAATGCGTGAGCGGGTTTATAATTTGGCCTAGGCCTGACATGATGTCCTCTGTCGTGGCCGCCTCA